CGTATACGTGTCTAAACGAGAGGAACTAAACAAGGCCGTAGTAGCTGGCCTCGCTTCACCTCCCTATAGTGTCGTCTCACCGTGCTGTGGCATCGCGAGGCCGTGCAGGCCTATGCTCCGGCCACGGATAGCTTCGCCTCGCCACGTGCTCAAATTAAATTTGAATCTGAATCTGTCTCGCGCGCCGGCGGTGACCGTGCCCCAACAGCCCTGACCGCGTTCGCCACCCAAGCGCCCGGGGATGCCTGACGTGCTGGTTGAACGCCGCGCTGCGCTGTGGCTCGTGCATCCCGCTCCGCTCGAGCCAAGCCGCGTCCGCTCACCCCTGCCTTTCTCCACGCCCGGTCTAGAATTGCAATGCTCAACTCAACTTCTAGTGTCTTGCACGGTCGGCGCGAGGCGCTCCGGCACGGCACCCTGCACCCTACCACGCGCTCTAGCGCCCGTCACGACCAACGCATGCACGGCAGCACAGCACTGGGCACTGCACCGTTCCTTCAAACTGGCTCGCAGGAAGCCAGCATCTGACGCTGCTCGATGCCCGCATGCTGCATGACGCCTGTGCCCGCGCATGCACCTGGAAATCGCATAGACAGGAATGCACAGCATTTGAGCCTTGTTTAGTTCCACTCCAACTTCCAAAAAGTTGCTACAGTATCTGTCACATCGAATGTTTGCGACCCGTACATGGAGCATTAAATGTAGACGAAAAGAAAAACTAATTGCACAGTTTGGTGGGAAATTGCGAGACGAACGTTTTGAGCCTAATTAGTCCATGTTTGAACACTATTTACCAAATAAAAACGAATGTGCTACAGTAACCCCAAAATCCAAATTTCGCGAACTAAACAAGGGCTTGGCTTGCCGCCTGTAAATCCGCAAAACGCTATGTCCCTAAAAGAATGTAATTATAACACAGTGTCATATTTTAGTACCTTAAGTTTGATTAATTATATAGATAAAAATATCTATGTTTATAATACCAAATAAATACCATTGGATTAATTACGAAATATATTTTTATAATAAATTATTTTAAAGATATAATTGTGAATATTATTTACTAAAAACTTGGTTAAACGTGAACCACCTTTCGTGGCACGTAACCCGTAGTTACATTCTTTTCAGGACAGAGGTAGTACAATATTACATAAGTGTACTGTTAGCAAGATTTCTTACGAAATAGTTTTTTACAATATTACATAAGTGTACTGTGGTACGTAGTACTCGTGTACTGGTACACTGCATCGCTGCAGCCACATGCGCCCATGCCCGCTAGGCCTCGTTTAGTTGACGAATTTTTTTAAAAAATGATATTGTAATATTTTCGTTGTTATTTGATAATTAGTGTATAATCATAGTCTAATTAGGTTTAAAAGATTCGTCTCGTGAATTTCGTCTAAACTGTGTAATTAGTTTTATTTTTTATTTATATTTAATGCTTCATACATGCGTCCAAAGATTCGATGTGACGAAAAATCTTGAAAATTTTTACAAAATTTTGAAAACTAAAGAGGCACCTAGCTGAAAAACTACACTGCAAATTGGTTCGGCCCGGGCATTGGATTCTTTCCTTCCTGTTTCCTGTGATCCTGTCTCCCTGTAGGCTCTACTACTCCTGCTACACTGGTAGAATACTACACTCCGCCTCTCAAAAAAAAAAAAGAACACTACACTCCGTCCAAACTGATGATATGATATAAGATACTACAGTAATATCTATTACACGAAATAAATATCTTTACATTAATAATGAAAATATATTGTTATAGTATATTTATTTTTCATAAATTTGGTTAGATTTAAGATAATTGACTTTAATCAGATGTACAACTCCTAGTTTCCTACTCCTACAATTGTACTATCAGGCCACACAGATACTAGCCCACCAGGGCACCAAATTCATACTCTAATATAAATTGAAAGGGAAATGATAAGAAAAGGAGGTAAACAAGACGAATAAGATGAACATATGGACTGAACATTGCAAAGAAAAACAACTAAGAAAGAAGGCAAAAAGACGAATAAGATGAACATATGGAATTATGGACTGAACACAAAGGACAAGTAAACTCATCAGATTTGGTCATGTTCAGAGTACATCAGTTGGTGCCGACACTAATTGAAAACTGAAGCTAATCTCAAGATAAGTGCTAACATAACCTGCTCCAATATACCTTAATAAAATTACCACAGCAGAGAGACTAATAAATCAATTAAAAGGAGTGATCCATCCTTGTTAGGTGATAGTGCTAGCTAGCTAGCTGTCGGGGGTTATGATACCCGATATCTTAAGACACTGATTAGTTAGCAGCTCGGGCTGCCCACGATAACCAAACTAGCACAAGCCCAAAGAACCGTGGTCCATGTAAGTCGCGTGAGATTTGGGCCAAACACTAAGACAAAGTGATCGGCCACAACCTCTCCCTTTCACCACATGCCGCGCAGACATGGCACGATCTCTCCTCCGTCCCGACCCCTAGGAGGGTCGGGCTCCACCAAATCACGCCTGCTTTAATTGATACATGCACGCTTGCTCGATCTGCCAGGGGACGAGGCGCAGTGATCTCGAGCAAGCGTCATCTCTCGCGCCATGTCGTAGACGAGACAGGACCGCCAAGCGGTGACAACAAGTATGGTGAACCACCATCCAAATACGGCCCGACGGGACGGGCGTACGGCTCCACCCACTACGGGATGGGGCTCACGGCAACGGCCTTGACTTTCAAGGCCAACCAAGTCGACGAGGGCCACGACCACAGAGCTCGGGATCGTGGTCATCAGCGTAGCGCCACGACCAGCAAGACAACCGACGATCCGGGAGTAGCTACCTACTCCTGTACGACGCCCTCGGGAGATTAGGAGAGCGATGGCGAAGGCCACAAATGAGACCACGTTGCATAGACGCGGCCTGGCCGTACCAACGAAAGGTGTCGTCATGACCAAGATCTTTAGCACCACGCGCATCCCATGCCGCGACATAGACACAAGACCATGGTCACAACCACGCTCAGACATATGTTGACACCAAGATAAAACGACCTTCCTTGCAAGCCTAGTTTTCCATTCCTCAGGCTCACAACTGCTCGGTCGGGAGAACCTATCTCTTTGTACGTGGTCTGGCCCCAAACTCTATATAAGGGCAGCCAGGGCACCCTTCCAAGGGGACGGACTCTCGAGACTTTATTCAGGCAGTCCCTCTCCACTCTCCTACCTCTTTCACTCTTCTTGCATACCCCATTGTAAGAACTTCAGAGCATTCAACCGAGGAACACGCACTCGAACGATAACTCCTCGTGTCTTTGAATGCTACCATCGTTTTCCTAAAACAACGCGACATATGTATAAATTCACTCGTTGGGTGACAAAATACCTACACTAGCTCTATCACAACAACATTTGTAAATAATGATCTCAAAATTTATTACTACGTTACGTGTGTTTGGTTGGGTGGCTGACTCCTGCCCTATTCTCTAGAGCCAAGACGATGGACTTGTTACATGGGCTAGAGGCAGGCTTGGCCAGGGGCGCCGGTAGCGTTCGAGTCACCTCCCTCCCGTCTTCCCTCCCTCCGGTGCTCCTCCCACCGGCAATCACACCGCCCACCAACTCCCGCCGCTCCTCCACGCTCATGCTCCGCTCGTCGACCTTCGCGCTCGCTCGCCGCCACTCCTCGCTCGCGGTGGCAGGGTCGCCCAGCAGTAGCTCGCGCGACACGGCGGTGGTCGTGTCACGACAGGGGCCAATCGCGCGGTGGTGGTCATCTCGTGGCGCAACGGCGGCGGGGCCACCCGGTATCCGGTAGCTCATCCTCCTCCCGCCGAAGTCCACATCTGGAACTAGCGCTGAAATAGTCCTCCTCTGCTCCTCCTTCCGCCAGGAGCTCGGGTGAATCGGGCGCATCTAGTCTTCCTCCTGCGAATCTGGCAAATCGGCAGCCGCAACATGGCAACCATCTTCTCGAGCATGCCGTGACGGGAGCTCCTCTTCAGGAGTGGCCGGAGTGGTGGCCGAGCTTCTCTTCTTCATGAGCGGCGGGAGCGGTGGCCGCAACAGGCATGTCATGCTCGCCGAGGTGCTCTCCAGGAGGCCGCGCCGGGCAATCCGTGCTCGCCGAGGTGCTCGTCGTGCTAGCGATTGGTGCCGCCGTGCTCGTCGTGGGGTTGGTAAACTTACCAATTTGAAGAAGAGATCCACTGTATCCAGTTGGCTTTAGCTTGTCGTAAACGAACGTAAATTTTTAGCCGGAACAATATTTTTCTCTCACATAGATCAGCCAACGGTATTTCTTCACGAACCAGCAATGATATAAACCAGCTAACCGAACAGGCTAAAATATTCTTGGTTAGCTTAGTGGGAGCAGGCTAAGGCTACCCACGCTAGAATTCTAGCAAGGCTAGAAGGCCAGAAACCTAACACAACCTATCATTCTATCTTAAGCTAAAGCACCATATAGAATAAACGTGGGCCAGGACCTGAACAAAGCAGTACCAATTAGAGTATCGGACAAGAAAAAAATACATAAACTCTAAACTAGTATATATATATTTCGAGTGAAATAATTAATGAGGTTCTTGGAAAAGCACAGCATGCCTAAATGAACAACTTGTCAAGCAACAAAAGAAACTAGACACTACAACGTACACCAATGTGTCAAATGTCAATACTTTGGTATCTATCAATGTAACAGCATATAAGAACTTCAATTCTTTTAAAAAAACTCCAGACTTTCAAGAATCCCCTCCACCCCTCAGGGAGACGCCACCGTTTGTGCCAGTAAATGGACACCCGGGACCAGAGAGGGAACATGAAGCTATAGTATGCAGCTTCATCATGGACTCCCCCTATCGTCAGAGGCAGCCAGACGTACCCGGAATCTCTAAGATCGGATGGGTTCCACAGATCAGCCATGAAGATGAATGAGCCCAGCAGCCCTGGAACTGTCAAGACAAATGTGCTCTGGGAGAAGGATGCTGTTGATCTGAAGACCTCATTCCCTCTCACACAAGGGTTCCCCAGTGTCTCCCAAGGTCCATCACTGATGTTGCCATGTGAGACAGCACAGTGTTTGGAGCCCAGCTTGTGCAGCCAGAGGTTACCATAAAGGTGCCTTCATGCTTGAAGAGCGCAGGAGCTTCTTGATGCTGTGCGATGAGAAACCTTTGCATCACATCAGTGACATCAAGGTAGTCATCAGTTAGCGGGCCAATGTGGAGCTCGCTGTTGTCCTCAGAAGAGTATATCAGGTAGGCCTTTCCATATCATCATCCTTGAAGATGGTCATGTCTATACTTTCGCAGTCATGTGGACGCTTGCTGTAGAGATAAGTGAATGGGCCTGTCGGAGAATCACTGACGGCCACACCAACTGAAGCTTTGGTGTAGTTAGCATCATCTATGTGCATCCACATCACATATTTGCCAGTCCGATCATTGTATTTGTATATCACCTTGGGCCTCTCCAGGACATTGGATCTGTGAAGACCATGTCTTACATTCTTCTCCTCACCACAGAGGACAAGCCCTTTATTTTTCCGTGTCCACAGGTCCTTCAAAGAATAGCAACTTAGTCCAATGATGTCAACCTGGAAAATGATTTGTCAAAGTTAGTAGTTAGATATGACAAAGACACTAAATAATCCACCAAATAGGAAGGTGGACAAAACAAACATCACTTTTAAGTACCGAAGCAATAGTAGCACCTACTAAGTTCTGCTGCTGAAACGTCAGTTCAGTTTGTCAGCAGCACATATGTACTAATTATGTGTGTTTTGGAAAATTTAGTAAACTATGCTGGTTCCACAGTGTGCCCAATGCTGGTATTCTTTATATCAGAATAATCAGGTTTGAAGTCTAGCCAGAGAATCCTTAACTAGAAATGCCTCCAATTCATAACCACTGAAGAGTTCTTTGCTGTCCACAAGAGTCCATTTTATAAAAATAGAAAGAAATCACTTTCTGGTTGTTGGCACCACCATAATGCAGTTACACTATCTGTCACTTTCGATTTAATCAATCAAAGAACTGCAATCACACATCACAATGCACCTTCAATACACCGCCACTGGTGTGAATGTCTACTGGGTATGAAAGAATTGAGATAACTGGCACAATGCACTTCCCAGATCTACCACCCTTAGGCCTTAAACCCACATCTACTGATATATCTCATTGTTCCAATTTGGCACACTTTGATTCTAACACCACTAGAGCATAAAAAATGCTAGTTTGTGCATAAAGAAAATGTTGGAGCTCAAACCAATTTCATATGAATAATAAACAGTCAAAAATTGTTTTTTAGCGTAAAATACAGCAGGAAAACCCCCACTGTGAGATTTTATAAATAAAAAAGGGTAAGAACTGTACAGGGAAAAAAGCACAACAAAAACCACCCAAGAGGCTGAGAGAGCCACTTGGCAACCAGAAAACTAAGAAAGAGATCTAAACAAAGGAGGAAAGAAGAGCGTTTGTCCTCAGACATCCTAAGAGCTTGCAGTCTAGCCTTGTCTAAGAAGGAGCATTTCCAGGAGGAGAAAGAAGGCTGTCCTCTGTCAAAAATAAAGTTGTTTCGCTGCTTCCATATGTGCCAGGCAGCAATGATGAAGATCTCCATGAAGAAGGGATTCTGATATTGCTGTTTTGACTGCATCATCATTTGGAAGAAATCACTTTGGAAGTTCCAGTGCATATTCAAGTGATGCCAGCAGTTTCCTCAACATTGTGATTACAGAGAACACAGTTGTAGTTGTTGCCCTCCAACTTGTGTTTTTTCCTTTTGAGAAGATTCCTTGTGTTTAGCCTATCCATAATCATGAGCCAGGAGAAGACTTTAAGTTTGTTACAGCACTTTGAATCCCAAATCCATAGGAAAGGGGCAGGAGGCTGAACATTTCTGTAGGGGAAGTTGTAGAATTTAGAAGAAGTATAGCTGCTGCTGCCCCAAATATAGTGCTAGGAATCTTTTGTGTCCTGTTGAACCTGTATAGTTTGAATATAGTCTTGCATTGTTTGGTATTCTTGGTAAGCTTGTTCAGACAATGGGAGGTGAAATTGTGACTCAAGGTTGTTGTTCGAAAGGAACTGCAACACAGAAATCTTCTTGTTTTTGGCAAAGGTGAAAAGTCTAGGGAAGTTATTCTGCATGACATTGTCATTCCATAAGTCTGACCAGAAAAGAACAGTAGATCCATTCCCAATTTTGCAATTAGCAATTCCTCTAAAGAGATCACAGAGCTTCAAAATATCCTTCCACCAAAAAGACCCTTTATTGTTACTAGCTTTTCATCTCTACATACCAAGTAACCCGCCTTAAAACAGCCCAGTCAATTTTCTTACCATACCAATACACCATAACTTCCAACATGCCTCCTAGCGATTTAGCCTCACCAACAGAATCTAAAAGGTCACGAAAATTAGATGTATGCATTAGCACACACAGTTACAAATGCACTTATATATTCGGTCATATTTAGAGAAATTAAACTTTCTTCTACATACTATTTTTTAGGTGTTCTACATATTAGTTTTTTTAGGTGTTGTACATATTAGTTTTCTTAGGAGTTCCACATACTAGTTTCTAGCTATCTCTGAGTTAGTTTATCCAAAGAGAAAGAAACAAATAATCTCTCCAATGATATGATTACTAAATCTTGGAGCAAGACATTAGTTTGGGATAATGATGCAACAAATTGAAATTCCTACACGGAAGTTCTGAAATGGGGTAAGTTGATCCTTTCCCATCATTCTTCTCCAAACTTCTAGCACATTATTGTGTCTACTTGATCCTTCTCTGGTCATGTGCAGTGCATGCTAAATCAATTTGATTTCTACATGCCCTATCTGCCAGAAGTCTAAAAATAAAGTGTTAAGCTCTCTTACAGAGTATTCAACCTGATATTGTGTATATATAGTATTCATGCCCCAAAATATAAACCTGACACCATCACATTCGTCTATGTTAACTAGCTAGTACCTTTTGAGTTTGACATAGGTCATTCACATTAGATGAAACAATTGAGTTGAGTGCTTCTACAGCAACATATCATAAGTCCCAGACCACGAATGGGTGTTGAATGTTGATAGCATCGGAAAGTACAACTCACCCTGTCTGCTTCCTTGCTGTGAGCTTTGTAATGCCATCCTTATTCTCCCCATACCAGAAACAGGCCTTGGTCCTCTTATCATACAGGACACCTCCTCCATGAGCTTGAAATGGTTTTCCATCAGTGTCCAACCAAATTCTGCCTGGGTAGTAGAAGTACATGCTGCCATTTCCACCATTGATTGGATGTACAGCCGTATTCAGTTCTGGGAAGAACATATCATGCACTGCACATCCAAGAACTCATCCACTATTGTAGGCGGCTTCTTGTCTCCCTTGCGGCGCTGGCCAGGGGATTCCTCCGGCTCCGGGGAGGAGCTAGCCGGAACTTCTCCTCCACCACTTCCAGCTCCCTCATAATCGATCGGCGGATCTCGTGTGTACTCATATTCTCATCCTCCTCCTTATGAATGATGAGAAGATGGAAATTCTCAACGACGACCAATGCTGCTAAGCACAACAGTACCAGAGTTAGGGACCGGTGTCTTGCCGGGTAGCAGTGGAAACCCAACGCCTTTGGGTGCCTGCTCCTCATACCCACGGTGCCGCTTATGTACTCCAATTGCTACACGCCTGCAGCAAAAATGGAGTTGAGCTCAAAAACTGCAAAATTTGGACAGGGAAGAAACAGCGGTTGGAATTTCTAGAAAAGAGGCTGATTAGCGTGCCAAATCAAGAAAGATGAAATTGCAGCAGAATGAATTGAAACTTGGAATTTCCCCAGAAAAGAAATGGATTTGTTACCAACATTTAACTGACCCAGATTTGATTCCTCAATTAGCGCCGTCTACACTCAAATCAGGGAACTACTAAAGAAAACCAGCCAGCAAACTTAACAGCTTATCATGGCCTAACTACCCGCTCCCTGGTCGCCACTACAAATGGAGCAACCGAAATGAAGAACTGTATCAAGAATCCAGTAACAGAGCTCATGCTCAGCCATATCTATTTTGTGTTCCAGGGGACTCGAATCTTACTAGTACAAATCCAATATTCCAAATTAAAATTGTTGCTACTGTTATTCTTGCATTTAAAATATTCCGAGGGCCAGATAATATACCTAGTCAGTTTATGACCAACTGATGAAGTTATGGCAAAACCATGGACAATGTCACATACCACAGCAGCAAAACCAATCATATCCTATCCAGCTGCATGTGTTTGCCTTTTGATAAGGCCTTCCATCAAAGTGATATAGGTTGAACTGTCAACAGACATGCCCCTTTGCATCATCTCATCCAAAACAGCCTTGGCTTCTTTCAGTTGCCCACCAATGCAGAGTTCATTTACAGATTTATTATAGCTCTCCTGATCACCACCAGATTTAACCTCTGGGTCCTTCCCTGTCTCCACTTCCTCCACAGAAGATTTCATGGAAGGATAAGAAAATCTTTCAGATAATTTTCCGCTCTCCTCCAATTTATGCAACATATTATGTGCTTCCTCTGATCGCCCTGCCTCAGATAGTGCAGACAACACAACATTGTATGTAAATGCATCAGGCTGCAATCCTCTGACCTCCATGTCAGCAAAGAAACACAAAGCTGTATCGACATCGCCATGTTTGCACAAAGCTTGAATTAAGGTGTTATATGTGATAACATCAACCTTCTTCCCTTTCTCTACCCATGACTCGAAAAGCTTCATCGCTTTCTCAAGCTTGCCATACAGACAAAGCCCATTCATTAAAGTGTTGCAGGTAACAACATCTGGCTTAAAGGAATTCTCCACCATCTTGTTGTGGAACTGGAAAGCTTTCTCCAAGTCCCCTTCCTTACAGTAGGCATGGAGGATGATATTGTATGTGGTGTCGTCTGGTACCAACCCATTCTCCATCAGCTCATTCAATTTATCAATTGCCTCTGTCAACTTCCCCATTGTAGAAAGCCCTTTGATCAATGTGTTGTAACTAGAAATACCTGGTGTTAACTTCCTCTTGACCATTTCATCCCACAGACGCAGAGCAGGCTCTGGATTAGACTCCTTAAAGTAGGCTGCCATCACTGTACCATAACTGACTTCGTTAGGTACAAAACCCCTCTGTGGCAGTGAATGCAATAGCTCCTCAGCCTCTTCATAACGCTTCTCTTTGCATAGGTTGTACAGCAAAGTGTTTAGGGTGAAAGTGTCCATTTTGAGTCCCCTTCGCACCATCTCATCCATCAACACGAATGCTTTTGCAACATTGCCGGCTTTGCAGTACGCATCAATTAATGTATTGTATGTAATCACATCTGGTGCCAGCCCCTCCGCTGCCATCATTTTCAGACGCCCTAATGCTTCTTCCAATTGCCCCTCGCTGCAGAGCCCCTTCACAACAATGTTATGTGTGACCAAACTTGCCTTCACCCCTTTGTCACGCATTTCCTCAAGCAGATTCAGTGCATCACAAGAGCGCTGACACTTGAAGCATGCATCAACAAGCGTATTGTAGGTAACTACGTCAGGCGATACTATGCCGAGCCGCTCCATCTTATCCTTCAGCTTAAATGCCTCATCCACCTTCCCTGCCTGGCACAGCCCTGCAGCGAGCACATTGTACGTCCATAGGTCAGGCTCCAAACCGAATGCCGTCATGGCCTCCACGACATTGGTCGCCTTCTTGATCCACCCAAGTCTCGCGTACGCTGAGACGAGGGTATTATACGTGGCCCTGGTGGGCGCGATACCCTCCTTCTTCATCCTGGCCAGCAGTGCCCGCGCCTCGCCGAGCATGCCGTTGCGACAATGAGCGTTGAGGAGGGTGCTGTAGGTGACGACGTCTGGGGAAAGGCCGAAACCCTGCATGGTGGAGAGCGTGGAGAGAGCGTCGGCGAGGGTGCCCTTGGAGCAGTGGGTGTGGACCAGGAGGTTGAAGGTGTAGTGATTGGGGTGGAGCTGCAACGCAATGAGGGAGCGGAAGGCGTCGAGAGAGACCTGCGGTGAGGTGGACGGACTGCGCGCAAGTGCGGAGAGCACGGCGTTGGCTGCCTGGAGGGAGGGGCGGACGCGCCCGCGGCGGCGGGGGGAGTGGAGGAGTTGTGCGGCGAGGTGGGGGAGGCGGAGGCGGAGGCGGGCGTAGGCAGAGAACGCGGCGTCGGCAAGCGCACTCGTGGGGAGGCTGGCGAGAAGGTGGCGGTGGAGGTGGCGCAGCGGATCAAGCGGGACGAAGTCGAGGAAGAGCGGGAGGAGGTTGCGGTAGGGGAGCATGGGGAGGAGCGGGAGTAAGGAGGGGAGGCAGGACAGAGGGGAGACGAGGCGGAAGTAGGCGAGGAGAGTGCGCGGAGAGGCGAGCGCTGGGTCGGCGGCGGCAAGGGCGATCACTTGCGGGTGGTGCGAGGCGCCGAGGCGCGGGAGGTACGGGGCCAGGAGGGTGTCCATGGGCGGCGGCGAGGGCAGGCGGGAGGCGGAAACAAGCGCGCCCGCCACGGCCGAGACAAGCGCGGAGTCCGGGTCGGAGGCGGCGCCGGATGCGGACGCCGGCGAGACGGAGGCCGAGGTGGAAGGTGTGGTGTCCATTGGGACGGGAGGCGGCGTTGCGTGACGGCGCGGGAGGGGGAAGAACCGAACAAATGGAGTGAAATTTTAGTATTTTGGACTTTTTTAAAACAATTTTTAGAAAAATACCAACGTCAAAATATTTTTTGAAAATAGACCATTTTTAGGCGTCTTAGCACATGACGTCGAGATATGAGGCTCGGCGTCGTGTCACTCGACGCCGAGGTATTGCCACGTCACGAACGACCGGGGTCGTCGTCGACACGTTGACGCGTGGGTCCGAGACGTCGGCGTCGTGTCAGCCGACGCCAAGTACCCAACCTCGGCGCGGTCTGACTGCGCGCCGAGCTCTGGCCCCATCCGGAGCGCGGCCTAGGCGGCCCAACAAAGCACGGTGGCCTAGCAGCTCGGCGTTGGGTCACTTAACGCCGAGCCTCCAGACCTCGGCGTGACCAGACTCAACGCCGAGGTCTGGACCTTTTAGGCCGCGCCGAGGCCCCTTTTTCTTCCTCCCTTCATTCTGAAACCGCCGGCTACAAGTACTGTTGCAATCACTGAAAGGGCTACAAGTCTATTTGAAAACTCACTGAAAAGCCTAGATTCGTTTACTGTTGTATCCGTATACGCAATGAATTAATATCAGAGTGATGTACTGCATTTAGATGAAGTGACAAAACATAGGTGTAGTCTTTTCAGATGAAATAGCCAGTCATGGTTGTAGGCTTTTCAGATGAAGCATCTAGCCTTTGCAGATTCAATAAATGAGTACGCACACATGTTTTTTGTCAAGTAGCATTCATGGTGAACCTGCCTTCATCTCTATATATAGTGCTCCATGTCTTGCTCCACATCCACACAACTTGTTTTCTTGTTTAGTTTTAGCAAATGTCGAGCGGAGGTTCCTCGAGTGGAAAGGGTTTCGACGGAGGGAGAGGAAAGGGGGTGAGGAAGGGGCCTCCGATTGTGTGGGAGGGTTCTCTGGGTCCCGATTCTTTTGAAGAACCAATAGAGAATTTCCTTTGGAGAGGAAGAGTGACTTTACCCGTGAGAGACCTCTTAGATCATACGAGAAGCGCATTGAAGATTGGCCAAAATGCCGCCACGGTTTGGATTGCATTGTGCGCGTATGTAAACGATCGTGTGACGGTGGAGACCGTCGTTTCTTCGTGATGCCCGCGAGGATTTGTATTGCCTTTGAACTCTCTCCTTTTTTAGATTTGCATAATTTCTAGTAGTACTTATTGGTAGATGGGTTTTCGAGATTCAAGTCATCCCGGATAACTGTGGCTTCACTAGATGGGTCGACCCTCCTCCTATCTATCCCCATCAACAATTACATCACATATCTCTGAGGGACGCATCTTTGACCTAGAGTATGGCCCTAGAAGTGGTAACAGGGACAAGTTGGACGACGACAACAAAGAATGATGCAGATGAGGCACTATGCAATAATCCGTCTCATGAGTGCCCGTACCATAAGAAGGACGGACCTCCTTCTCCACCGCCACCGCCACCACCACCGCCTCCGTCAACTGGAGGATACTATGGGGAAGGCGCAACTCAGTTCAATATGTGGGAGCATTATTAGGACCAACATTTGTTAGTCAATCCGAATGTGGAATGCTTGTATGAATTGTTCTTTTCAATCTCGTAAGGCATGCTAGGTTTAGTTTGCAACATGCTCTTGTTAGTT